ATGTTAAAAACGATTTATGTGGTATTTTTAAAACTCATAGGATTCTTCCAGAAGTTATTTTGTGATTGCAAATAGAGAAATTGTAACTTTATTACTTTTGTTCTGAATCACAGTTGATGCTAGGATAATTAGTATAATTACCTTGTTAATCTTTCTCTTTTTTTGATATAACAAATAAGTTGTGAGTCTAGAATAAGGAATACTTAAGTAAAGATTCTTTTAATTTAAAAGTAGTAGTTTTAAGCTGAGTACAGTGGCTCACACCTGTAATCCCAGCTACTCAGGAGGCTAAACCAGGTGGATCGCTTGAGCCCAGGAGTTCGGGGCTGCAGCTATGGTTGTGCCACTGCACTCCAGCCTGGGTGGCAAAGGGAGACCCTCGTCTCCAAAAATAAATAAATAAATAAAATTATTGAAACAGTTCATCACTGCTAAAATGGGTTTAGATTTGAAACAGGAACTGTCCAACACAGAAATAACAGTGACCAAATGCATGGAAATATTTGGTTCTGAAAAAAGAGTGTACGGATATTACACATATGTGAAAGACCATTAGGGAAATATCTTCATCTCTCAAGGATTTTCTTACCTATTCTTTCTTTTTCCAGTTAAACTTTGTGTCTCCTTTATAACCTTTATATACTTCTGTGCCAGCACCTTTAAGACTCCTGCACTGATACACACTCGTTTTCTACATCTATAAGCTCTTTAAAGGCAGGAACAGTGTCATATATATCCTTTATCTCCAGCTTTCAACACAGGGCTTGGGCCATTCAGTAAGCATTTATAAATGATTAGGTGGATGCTAGCAAATATGATCATAACTCTGAAGGGAAATCCGATTTGTAACTGTCAAGAACATATCTGATTTAGTTTTATACATGTTATACCAAATAATTTGTATGCCATTGAAGATCAGTTCTTTTCTCCCAATTCTTTAGAAATAAGAATATGTATATTTATTTCAGCCAGCACATTAACAGACTTCACCAGTGAAAATGAATCCATGTACACAGTTCGAATTTGCTATTTGTCATTTCAGTTGGAAGCTAAATACTATCAATGTACAGACATTGCTTTGGTAAATGCTTTTATCTAAGAAGTAAGAGAAAATAATCTACCTTACATAATTATCTTTCCTTCTCCTCTGTTTTTTCCCACCAGTAGTCAGTTATCCACCACCTCAAAGCTTCCATGTTTTTCTGTCTCACTTTTCCGTAACTCTGGCCCGACACTTAAAATGTAAACATAACACTACTCTCCTTGTAATATTATTTAACTGAATTTCAGTTTTTTATCTCAACTTCTTTACAGAGAGTCTGTTTCCTATGTCTGCCCATATTAGATTAATATTGTATGCAAATAGATATAAATATATTTTTTAATTCTTCAGAGAAAAAAAAAGACAGTGTAAGGCAAGAGGATTCTCATGTTCTTTTGTCAAAAATAAAAATTGGATGATAAATGCCTTGTGTAAGCTATTATTTACTTTTATTAAATTTTGAAAACTTTTTATGTTTATGTTTCCATTAATTTTCTAAATTTGGTAGTCTTATACAGAATAGCATATTGCCTAAAATTAGAAAATGTTATATATTGTAATTACTAAGATGAAAACATTAAGTCTGCTCTTAAGTCATAACACATCTTTAGGTTTTTAATCTTGCCAACAAAATTTGGGGCCACATCAATATTTAATTAAACATTGATTCTGGTTGACAGATTATTTTATTTAAGATTCTTTGAAATGGTTAAACACTAAAATTCAGGAGAAGGTATTAACTACATAAAAGCACCTTTAATATAAAGATAGACATTGTCATATAATTCTTCAGTTTTCAAAGATATGGATATTTTTGCAAGGTGTTTACTGTCATTAAAATTAACACTACTTCGAATTATATATTGTTTCAAAGTTTTTGAGTATTGGTCGGGCGTGGTTGTAATCCTAGCATTTTGGGTGGCCGAGGCAGGTGGATCACCTGAGGTCAGGAGTTCGAGACCAGCCTGGCCAACATATAGTGAAACCCCTCTCTACGAAAAGAATACAAAAATTATATGGGCGTGGTGGCACAAGTCTTTTAATCCCAGCTACTTGGGAGGCTGAGGCAGCAGAATTGCTTGAACCCGGGCGGAGGAGGTTGCAGTGAGCCGAGATCACGCCACTGCACTCCAGCCTGGGTGACAGAGCAAGACTCCGTCTCTCAAAAAATAAATAAAATAAATAAGTAAATAATAATAAAACTTTGAGTATTGAAAAGAAGGAAAAATAATTAAAGGGTTTTTTTTTTAAAAAAAAAAAAAAGACAAGCTGATGTTCAATAATGTAAGTGCAATACCCACATGTGCAAGTTGTTTTAGATAATAGTTTTAGAGTTGAAAAGAAAAAAAAAAAACTGTGAAAAAACATATATAATGTGAGACTGATTTGCCATGTAGTAGAAATTAATATCTTCACACATTTCATAGAGTGGATGTTATAAAATTATTAATAAAATTTCATTACCTTTTATTATCAGCCTATAATTAACCTTTTCTGTGCTGTTCTGCTTCAGGATGGTTATCACACAGGAAATCATTACATTGAACAAAACAAAAATGATTACTTATAACTTAAAATAACATGAGACTAGGTCTTTTGAAAGTCTTGGCCTATTAATACATTTTTCTTCATGAAAAATACGTTAAAGCACTGCAGTTTGCCAGTACATATATGTCTGGTTTTTATTGTTGTTGTTGTTGTTGTTGTTGTTGTTGTTTTGAGACGGAGTCTTGCTCTGTCGCCCAGGCTGGTGTGCAGTGGCGCGATCTCAGCTCACTGCAAGCTCCACCTCCCGGGTTCACGCTATTCTGCCTCAGCCTCCCGAGTAGCTGGGACTACAGGCGCCCGTCACCATGCCTGGCTAATTTTTTGTGTTTTTAGTAGAGACGGGGTTTCACCGTGTTAGCCAGGATAGTCTCGATCTCCTGACTTCGTGATCCGCCCACCTTGGCCTCCCAAAGTGCTGGGATTACAGGCGTGAGCCACCGCACCCGGCCCATAATGTCTTCAATAATATTACAAAAAGGTTATCATTTTGAAAAGAATTGCTTATTCATAAAAATACAATCATATTTAACATTCAGATACTTAAATCCTTAAAAGTGCATTTTCTCAGTATTTCATGTGTACAGGATAAAAATAAAGATGATTGTAATTCATCTGTATAATTGGTATAGTATATATCATGGTTTAACTTTCTAATTGTAACACATTAACTTTTCAGACAAATAATTTTCTACAAAAAGAAGCTGTGAGCAAAATTAACAAATATTATAAAAATACTTCTCAGTCTATTTCTTGAAACTGAATCCACTTAATCAGGGAATATGAAGTTTGTGTTTAACATTCCCAAGAAAACTTAGACTATTTCTCAAACTTTCTAAGTTCTTGAAAACTTGGACTATTTCCCATTAAGTGAAATGATTATATAAACAAATTATAATTAAACAAATTTCTTGTATTACTGTAAATTGTGTGTATGGAAATAAAATGAGGGGTGTGTGTGTGTGTGTGTGTGTGTGTGTGTGTGTGAGAGAGATATGTATAAATATATTTATGAGGTGACTTGGTTTAGAATTTGCATTTATACTTTCTCTGCTTGCTACCTTCCAGAACAAAATTGCCTAAAATGCATGGCTGTATTTCTTTAAAATATTCTTATCCAAATTTGTGTTTTAAAGATAGCATTAGAGATGCTTGCTAAAAATTAGCTAATGAAATCTCTCATAGAATACCTCAAACAATTAAATGTCCTGCTCAAATTTTAGCACATTTTTTTAGCCTGCCCATTTTAATGTTTGGAACAAGGAAAGCTTACTTCAGTGCTTTGTCAGTGACACAACAATCACAAGTTTTGACCTACCCAGTGAGACATAAAACATTGACATATGTGTCACTATGCTTCCATAATATAATTTTAAATGTTAGTATTTATATTTTAATTTTAGGGATGATAGAAAATTTCATATTCATTTGATATTTCTTATAATAGTTTTTTATTGTGATTAAATAAGTCAAAATATGCTGATTTTTGTGGCTGGGTGTTTCAATACAAATAAAAATGTCTATATGTGGTCATCCTGGACTGAGTATTCATGTCACTGCCGTAATTTTTCAGTATCTTCTGAAAATATGGTAGTACCATTTGGTAAGATGGTAGTAAGCCCTAATTTTAAAACTGTAGCTATGATAGCCAAAAAAGCAAATAATTAGACTAATTATTTTATAAATATAGATAGTGCAGCTAGGTAATATAATTCTTAAATAGGGTTAGTCTACCCCAAGCCATTGAAAAATTAAAAATTATTAATTATTAGAAATCACTCATTATTATGAAGTTATATTTCATGTTAGTTTAAATAAAAATACTAACAATTTTGCTAACCTTTATCTGTGAAAACAGTCATGAAACAAGTAAGATTTTTAATAACAAATATTCTGGGTGATAAGGAACATGAAATTAATGTTTTGAAGGGACTCAAGCTTGAACTTTCCTACTGTTATCTTTATTAACTTTGCTTTATGATTCTACATTCTTTGTTTTTGAAATGTTTTAGAACAAAGCATTTTCTTAAAGTTACAATAGGTGAAGAATCATCAACAGCATTGTGATTTTTGGAGCTATATAGAAGTGTTACCTTTGGTGTATAGTTATGATTCCCTCTTGTTAACATACTGATTTCTTATAAATTCTATTGCAAAATGCACAGTGACTCAAGGA